TTACTAGCCCATCTGTCTTCTTTTCTTCACTTTTCAGAATCTTCTGTTAGTTGCATTATAAATTTTATTCAGTTTTTTTTTTTCCTTTTTGGTGATTAATGGGGGGAATAGCATGGAATGTGCTTACTCCATCTTTTCATAAATTAGGGGTGTGAGGTAGCTTTTAAAAAACTATGTGTAACTAGTTCTCACAGTAATTTTGTTTTAAGCCTAAGGATTTTATTGTGGCAACTTCTATTATTTTGTTAGCTTTTGAACAGTGTATTAACAAGAATATATATATTGTTAAGACCTCATTTTAGTTCTGAGCATCCCCTTTTTAGTTTTATCAAGTTTTCAGCCTGTACAGATGTGAATTTCTGTTGTGTTTTTCCTAAGTACCTTACAGATAGCCAGAATAAGGAGTGGTTAGCATGCATTGTCTAGTCATTCTTTTTTTTTTTTTTTTTTGAGATGGAGTTTCACTCTTGTTGCCCAGGCTGGAGTACAGTGGCGTGGTCTTGGCTCACTTCAACCTCCATCTCCTGGGTTCAAGCGATTCTCCTCTTGCCTCAGCCTCCCAAGTAGCTGGGACTGCAGGTGCATGCCACCAGGCCCAGCTAATTTTTGTATTTTTAGTAGAGATGGGTTTCAACATGTTGGCCAGGCTCTTCTTGACCTCCTGACCTCAGGCCATCCACCCACCTCGGCCTCCCAAAGTGCTAGGATTACAGATGTGAGCCACCACGCCTGCTGACTCATTCTTTTATAAAATCAAAGAATTTATTCTAATTTGTATAGAGTTTTTTTTTTTTTGAGGATGAAATAGTTGAGAATTTATGATTGAAGACAGATTGTGTGCTGGAGAGAGCAGTTTGAATTAGGTTGGATTTAATTTCTTGAGCATTATCTGACCTTACTTTTTTAGCCCCTGGGGGATAATTGGTGTTCTTTCTCTCAAGGCTTGAGATTTCTATAGTGTTGCCTATAGTTTCTGAAAGCTTAGTGTTCTCACTGTCTTTATGACTAATAAGGTAGAAAAGTACATAGTGTACAGACTTTTATATAATGTGTTGACTATATTAACAGTCCCCTCCTTGCCTGCAAAAAAGGTCTTCAGTAATGAAGAGAAGGAACCCAGCCAGGAGAAATTATACCAAGGTGTGGGAGGCCTAGGTGGGCAGATCGCTTCAGCACAGAAGTTCAAGACCAGCCTGGACAACATGGTGAAACCCTGTCTCTACCAAAAAATACAAAATTAACCAGGCGTAGTGGCATGTGCCTGTAGTTCCAGCTATTCAGGAGGCTCAGGTGGGAGGATCATTTGAGCCTGGTAGGTTGAAGCTGCGGTGAGCTGAGATTGTGCCACTGTACTCTAGCCAGGGTGAAAGAATGAGATCTTGTCTCAAAAAAAAAAAAAAAGGAAATTATACCAAGGTAATTGCAGTTGGATAGTGGAATTGGATCAATTATTCACATTTGAATTGTTTCCTAGTTGTGTTTGGTGAGCATAAACTTAGAAATATCAAAAGAAATATATGTTTACATTCATTAACATTTTATTTAAGGATCTGATGCATTAAAGGCAATTTTTTTTTCTACATATTTTTATTGCTTAAAGGTGGGAAAGGTTTTTATTCCTGGACTGCCAGCTCCTTCTCTGACGATGTCCAATACAATGCCTCGGCCCAGTACTCCACTTGATGGCGTCAGTACTCCAAAGCCTCTTAGTAAACTCCTTGGATCATTGGATGAGGTAAGAAATGGACTAGGTGTTGTCAAAAAGTTAACATTTTTAAAAGAAGTTTGGTCAAATATTAGTTCTTTCCATGGTTAACTTAATTTTAGTTAATATTTGGAGAATAAATGTTTTCAAACACAAGTGATTCAGTTAACATACATTGGCCTCCCTTGTGATATGTGTGGTACTTTTCGAAGGTGCTGGAAAGATGGAAGTGTTATATTCTTTTCCATCTAAGGATCTCACAATTGTGTGGATATGATGTACTGTCTGTATAAGAAATTATAATTTAAGAAAGACTCATGACTTACAGATTAGTAAAAGAGAGTACCATCGTAGATTGATTGATGGGAAGATAACATGCAATGGGAGGACATGGCGAAATCAAAGCCTTATCTCTGAGAGACATGTCAGACTTGCTTTGGACCTTGGGGATAAGTAGGATATCTGTATGCAGAAAGGGGCATTCAGGGCAAGGCGGAATCACACAGGCACAGACAGGAAGGCCAGATAATGCAGAACATTTTTTAATGGATATTTGTATCTTCATCTCCTAGTGCATAAGTTAAGGACTCAACAAAGCTTTAGAATAAATACTTATAAAAGTACAAGTAATCTGTAGGGTAGGGCAGGACAGGGGTTGGATAACCTTTTTTGAACATTTTCTATGTGCTAGGCATTGTTCTCAGTGCTTTATTAGTATTAATTATTTTTTTAGAACAGCTTTATTGAGAAGATATTACTATGATTCTTTTTTTTACAAATGAGATAGAGGTTACAAATGAAATAAACCTAATAAGTGGTTGGACTGGGATTTACACTTACTAATGTGTTCTTAAAGGAAGAAAGGGTTGGGCGCGGTGGCTCACGCCCATAATCCCAGTACTTTGGGAGGCCGAGGCAGGTGGATCATGAGGTCAAGAGATCGAGACCATCCTGGTCAACATGGTGAAACCCTGTCTCTACTAAAAATACAAAAATTAGCTGGGCATGGTGGCGCAAGCCTGTAGTCCCAGCTACTAGGGAGGCTGAGGCAGGAGAATTGCTTGAACCCAGGAGGCGGATGTTGCGGTGAGCCAAGATTGCGCCATTGCACTCCAGCCTGGGTAACAAGAGCGAAACTCTGTCTAAAAAATAAAAAAAGGGGAAGAAAGGATGAAAAGGTAGTTTTATTCTGAATGCTATTGCCAGGGGATTACACGATTTTGAGGAAGGAGTTACGAGTTTTTGGATCTGTGTTATAGACAGGTGTATTTTGGGATTAAAGATAAGGAGACCAGTTAGCCTCCAAGCGAGGTTGTCTGTATCAGTGTAAGAAGCATGAAGAGGGTCTGAGTAGAGCAGTATGTGTGGAAAGGAGGGAATAACATGAGAGGCCTTGGGAGGTGGAAATGAGTTTGTCAGCTGATTGGTGTTGTGCTGCTGGGCTTGGGAAAGGTAACGTGGAACCAGGCTCCAAATTCTCTTAACCTGGGAAGGTAGCTGAATTTACCAAGTTAGGAAGCCTTCAAAGGGAAGGTTAGTGCTATCAATTGTATTTGATAATGTCTGTCTTTAATGTATTTTTAAACATGTGCAACATTGAATTTTCTTCCATTTGCAGAACATTCAGAAGGGGAACTGGAGAAGTGTCAGAATGTTTTGTGTGATTTGGAAGAATTTATTTTATTTTATTTTATTTTTTTTGAGACGGAGTTTCACTCATGTTACCCAGGCTGGAGTGCAATGGCGCGATCTCGGCTCACCGCAACCTCCGCCTCCTGGGTTCAGGCAATTCTCCTGCCTCAGCCTCCTGAGTAGCTGGGATTACAGGCACGCACCACCATGCCCAGCTAATTTTTTGTATTTTTAGTAGAGATGGGGTTTCACCATGTTGACCAGGATGGTCTCGATCTCTTGACATTGTGATCCATCCGCCTCGGCCTCCCAAAGTGCTGGGATTACAGGCTTGAGCCACCGCGCCCGGCCTTCAAGAATTTCTTTTATAATGGAAAATGGTTTCCAACTTTTTTAGAATTCTATAAGCCTGGTAACAGTTATATCTTTTTGATAGGTATGAGGTCACGGAAATGATAGCCTAACACACTGGGTGATGGCTTTTCTACTTCTCTGGCAGATTGTGCTGGTAGGCTTAGAGCCAGGACCAGTGGAGCTGAATTTTTCCTGGTAACTTTTAGAGTAGAATCTAGAATATAATAAATACATCTTAGTCTCATTTGTAAGTGTTGACAAAATATTCACTTGGAGATATATAAATTGAATTAAAGGAATAAAAAAAGCGTTGGTGGTCATGAGTGGAGATTTAAGATTGGAAGCATCTGCATGTAGTTAGTAACTAAGATCATTTAAATTTTTTGTTTGCATATCTGCAGTTAAGCAAATAAATGCTTAATATATACATTTTAATGTATATTTATATTTGCATTTAATATAGAAATGCAAATATATTTTTGATAAATAATTGCTTATAGTGGAAATACTACTAAATACTGATCTCATTTGTTTGCTTTTTTATTACTGTCCTTTCTTCCTGGGCTCTTAGTGCTTCAGCTGCTTCAATTCACAGTTTAGTCTTTTTTTTTTCTCTTCTGAGATCGTCTTGTTCTGTCGCTCAGGCTGGAGTGCAGTGGTGCGATCTCACCTCACTGCAACCTCTATATCCCGGGTTCAAGTGATTCTCCTCCCTCAGCCTCACAAATAGCTGGGACTACAGGCCTGCACCACCACGCCTAGCTGATTTTTGTATTTTTAGTAGAGATGGGGTTTCACCATGTTGGGCATGCTGGTTTCCAATTCCTGACCTCAAGTGATCCACCTGTCTTGGCCTCCCAAAGTGCTGGGATTACAGGCATGAGCCACTGTATCCAGCCCACAGTTTAGTCTTTAGCCTTGTAAGGTTGCTAGCAGTGCTGCTGGCTTCTCCCTCTTAGCTGTGACTTCCTTGCATATTATAAGTTCCTTGTACCACCAACATTTGCAGATGGCCAGAGCAGGAAAAGCAAGGTTCTCTGAGAACATTGGACCCCTCCCTGTAGTTGCCTTCTTTAGGTGAGAACGTTGGCCCTCTTCCTGCAGTTGCCTTCTCCCCTAGATCTTGGTCCCTCAAGTCCAGGTTGCTTCCACAGCTTTCCCACAGCCATCAATCAGATGTTTTCCTTTTACCTACCTTTTCTGGCTGTTTTCTATGAGGACCTTGGTTTGCTGGTACTTCATTGTATCTGGAACAAATTTTTTTAAGGAGCTGGGGTCTCGCTGTGTCCCTCTGGCTGGAGTGCAGTGGCTATTCACAGGCTCACTACAGCCTCAAATTCCTAGGCTCAATTGATTCTTCTGCCTCAATCTTCTGTGTAGCTGGGACTATGCAGGTGTGCACCACCATGCTTGGCTTGTAGCAGAACATTTTCGAATCATTACATATAATTGTTCATTAGATCATATGCAAAAAAGAAAGTTTCTTTGTCCTTAATTTCTGAGAAAACAATTCATTTGTGTTATATTTATGACTTTTACAGGTGGTTCTGTTGTCCCCAGTTCCAGAACTGAGGGATTCTTCAAAACTTCATGATTCTCTCTATAATGAGGATTGTACTTTCCAACAGCTTGGCACTTACGTTCATTCTGTCAGAGATCCTGTTCATAACAGGGTCACCCTAGTAAGTATAAATATTTGGTAGCTTTCCAAGAGGTGGGCTAGCATTTCAAATTCGACAGAATACAGAATTTTGTCTGAAAAATAACCACAAACATTTCTCATGATTTACAAAATCTGTTGTAATATGTCATTTTTTGGCACTATTTTACCTTTTACTATACAGCAATTCTGCTTGTTTTCTATAGTTTCTGTATTACTAAAAACTTAATGGAAACAAAAGCTTAGTTGAATTGCATATTGATACGATTTTTTTTGTCTTTTTGTTAAATGTCCTCCCTTTGATTATGGTGATTCACTGTCTGTATATAGATTAGACACTTTTTAGTAAAACAAGCATTTTTGGAAAACATTTTGCAAGTAATTACATTTAAAGTTTCTGAAATTTGGAAGTGTTCATTTCTGTTTGGAAAATTGTTTTTCATTTATTTTATTGCTTTGATAGGCAAAGTCTTGTACCAGCTATTTTTAAGACATTAAAGACTTAAAATGCACAGGTTTTACTTACTTCCTCATTTGTTTCCACCTAGGAACTGAGTAATGGCTCCATGGTTAGGATCACTATTCCTGAAATTGCCACCTCTGAGTTAGGTACGATTGAGAAGTTTCATTTATAAGATGTGAAGTAATTGTGATTTACATTAATAATTGGGGTTTTAAACATTGTTTTGGCATTTTTGAAGCCACTGGATCAAGTTCTTAGCTTTGTAGAGGAATTTTAAAGAACTAGGGAGTGCTTTGTAATGTCCACTGTGTGTGTGCTCTAAGGCTGGAGTACAGGTGAAGGATGTGTTAGTTCTGTTCCTCTTGAGATTCTTCTGTTGAATAACACCATGCAGTGCAATAATATATGGACATTCTGGCTGGGCATGGGGGCTCACACCTGTAACCCCAGCACTTAGGCAGGCTGAAGTAGGTGGATCGCTTGAGGTTGGGAGTTCAAGACCAGCCTGACCAACATGGTGAAACCCTGTTTCTACTAAAAATATAAACATTAGCCAGGCGTGGTGGCACACATATGTAATCCCAGCTACTCGAGAGTCTGAGGCAGGAGAATTGCTTGAACCCGGGAGGTGGAGGTTGCAGTGAGCTGAGATCATGCCACTGCACTCCAGCCTGGGCAACAGAGCAAGATTCTGTCTCAAAAAAAAAAGCCTGTATAATATAAGGAAGTTTATGACATCTCTTGGTTTCAAATTCTAACTGCCAAAGCAGGACATTGGCAGCTTGTAGACTAGAATGCATTTTTGTTTTAGGAATTTTCATTGAGTAGTAAATGGTATTCCAAGTTGATGTGGAGATTCCTTGCCTTTTAAAAGGTATTTTGTAATCAGAAAGCCAGGTACCAGAAGTATTATAAGCCTAAGCAAAATATATACAAACAAATAATAATGGAGGAAATTAAATAAAAGCAAAAACTCTTACCCCTTTATAGCCAAACATAAACTCCATAGTTAATGCACATAGGTTTATGTACTTTACCTACAAAGGGTTCCCTCACACACTCGTGCAGCATTGGGTTTACACTTACTTTGGATTCAGTTATGACATACTTGGTTATTTGGTATTTTAATATTACTTGCTTCTAACCTATGCTGTTTGAGTGTGCACATTGCAAAATGATGGGACAGAGGATGTGTTGCTGAGGATGGGCCCAGTGACATGACAGTGGAAAGGGAAAAAAGAATACTGGAAGAGAGGATATGTGAGTATAAGCAGTTCAGCGTTGTTTACTACTAAAAGCAGATTTGGGTCTCTTCACAGTGGTAGCCCTGGCCACCCTGAGGGGCTCATTGTATGACAGTGTAGTGCTATAACTGACATTCATACTGATGGCTTTGAGCCATTGAGAATTGTGTAGGGCCAGGTGTGGTGAGCTCATGCTTGTAATCCCTTCCCTTTGGGAGGCTGAGGTGAGGGAATTACTTGAGGCCAGGAGTTTGAGACCAGCCTGGACAACATAGCAAGACGCTGTCTCTACGAAAAGAAAAATAAAATTAGCCAGGCGTGCTGGCTTGCATCTGTAGTTCTAACTACTTGGGAAGCTGGAGCTGGTAGATCACTTGAGCCCAGGAGTTAGAGGTTACAGTGAGCTATGATTGCACCACTGCATTCCAGCCTGGGGACAGAGGAAGACCCTATTTCCCCTTACCTAAGAAAGAATAATGTAACTTATGTGGTATTAACCCTTAACCCTTTTAAGGCAGAGAGCATGTGAAACATTTTAGAAACTGAGCGATGTCAGAAATAAATAAAAGTCATAAAGCTTTGGTTCATAGGCATGTTTACTCATTTAGAACACCTTGTAATGCTAACCACGCATTGCTGTTTGTGGATGCATATATTGAATATTATATATTTACTGAAGTATTTAGACAGTATTTTATATAAATGTATAAACATAGAAGTTGTATGTTTTTCATAGTGACTTTGTTTTTTTTTGAAATAGAGTTTCACTCTTGTCACCCAGGCTGGAGTTCAATGGCATGGTCTCGGCTCACTGCAACCTCCAACTCCTGTTTCAAGCCATTCTCTTGCCTCAGCCTCCCAAGTAGTTGAGATTATAGGCACCTGTCACCACGCCTAACTAATTTTTGTGTTGTTAGTAGAGATGAGGTTTCACCATGCTGGCCAGGCTGGTCTTGAACTCCTGACCTCAGGTGGTGCACCCACCTTGACCTCCCAAAGTGCTGGGATCACAGGCGTGAACCACCGTGCCTGGCCCATAGTGACCTTTAATTTGTCATCAAGCTAGAACATCTTTAAGAGTGAAAGGGGGAGCAGTTAGTAATTGCTGGGGCAATGGATGGATGTAAATTAGGAATGTCTGTGGCAAACTGGGCTATTTAATCACTTTATTTTGGATCCAAAATTAATGATCAAAAAGCTGTCCTCAGATCTCTTTGAAGCCCTGTTGAATTCGGTAGTTGGTTTTAGTTTCAGATTTTTGGCTAGGTAATGTTTGCATCTCATTGCCTCTTTAATGCCAGTTTTCTTTTCATAATAATTGGACTTTACATAGTAGAAATTAAAAAAAACTTTGTTATTGAAAGGGTAAAAGCAATGCATGCAGAGTAAGAATACTAAAATTAATCTTTGTTTTTAATAGTACAAACGTGTTTGCAAGCAGTTAAGTTTATCCTCCCAAAAGAAATAGCAGTTCAGATGCTTGTCAAGTGGTACAATGTCCACAGTGCTCCAGGAGGACCCAGTTATCACTCAGAGTGGAATTTATTTGTGACTTGTCTCATGAATCTGATGGGTTATAACACAGATCGCTTAGCATGGACTAGAAATGTAAGTAAATACAGTTGTTTTCTTTATGAGTTATTCTGTTAATGTAATGATTGCATAATTGGCAATATAACATTCAGAGTACATAATAGGCATACCATATTGAAAATAATGGAATAATACTAAGGTTTATTCTATCTATATAGTATAAATCAAATCTCATTTAATATTTAATATTAACATTTTAGTAGTAATTACTGAGCTTTAGAATGTTAAAGCATATATGACTATGTCTCATTTCACTTTTGTAGAGCCACTGCAAGTTATGCTAGGATTTCTGATAGTTTTTTTTTTTTTTTTTTT